CGAGGTGTCGACGGCGAACTCGAGGACCGCCTGGCGGAGCGCGGCCGGCAGCGCTGGCATGCTGCTCGTCTGCCAAAAGAATATGCAGGCGAGGTGCCAGCTGCGATCTTCGCACTTATGCGGACGCACCCAATCACCATCCTTGGTGCGCTTTTCTACCGAGCTAAAATTTACCTTCAACGGGAGCACCACCGATAGGCCCATTGCGCCAGGTCGCTTGCGGCGCAGGAAGAGGACAACTTGTACTGCATAGCACGTGCGCTGCAAGGCGCAAGCAGCGTCACTCTCAATGCACGAAAAGTGCAAAGGCAATCTGAGCCAGTGCTGAACCCATGGCGTCGATGTGTACCGTAGAGTCTGCACCCTTCGCGCAGGTCCGTTGACGATGGCAGTTGATGAAAACGTCAAGGGGCAAAGTCCCACAAACACAACGCGTGATCTGAACAGCACGAGCACCTCAATACAAAAATGAGTTTAATGATTTTTAGTTACTCATTTTTCGCCCATGTCCAACAAGGCGCAGCGTCCACGGCTGCGTTGCGAGGTCGTCTCCATTGCGCAAGCGCGTCATCTCGCGGGTGTAGGCGCGCTGAAGCACCCGTGGGACGTAGATATCCCAATCACACATCTCGACACGGATGGAACCCGTCGTGTGAACGCTCTCAAGAAACAAAAGTGCGTCGGCGCCATGCGAGACATCATAGCCTAGCACGAGCGTGCTGGCGCTGGGCCATGAAGCCAGCGACGACGCGATGTGCGCGAGGTTGCGCAGCACATAACGGTTGTTTCAAGCTTGATCTGCGCCAGCGTTGGCTTCTTGGCGAGCGCGGGCAGGAGGCTTGCGAGGCCCGTCGCCGCGATCGCATTCTGGGATACGTCCAGGGTCCGCAGCACCGAGCACGCGGCGAGTACACGGAGCAGGTGCGGCACGGCCGAGTCGGCAAGCTGGTTGTCGGCCAAGCTCAGCGACTTTAGCAGCGGCAAGTTGCCAATGGCTTGTAAAATGGGTGGAAAGACCTTGGACCCGAGCCGATTGCCTGAGAACGAGACCGACACCAAGCACCGCAGGTCCCGCACAACCATGACAAGCGGCGACGGCGGCAGATGCCCCCACGACAGAGCAAGCGACGAGAGGCGTGGCGCGCTCCGAAGGATGGCTGCAACCGGTACCATACTGCACTCGTGCAGCGCCTTCCATCGAAGCGAGCGCAAGGTACATGGCATGCGGTAGTCGGGAGTTGGACGAGCGAGAAGCCGAGGACTCTCTAACACGAGGTCTGTCAAGAAAGGACTGCCGCCGAGCGCGGACCAGAGCGCTTCCTCTGCCGACACATCGCCACGGCAAGCCAGGACTCTTGCGCTTGGTTGACGCAGCCAGTGGGCGACGTGCGCAAAGACGCACGACTGGATCAACGGAATCGCGTCTCTGCCAAATCGAAGGTCGAGGGTCGATAGCGTCTCGGCCTCTGCGAAGCGCTGCAAAAGCGGCTTCAACCACGATACAGCGTTCGGCGTGCTGGGAACGTACAGCGACAAGTGACGAAGTGCAGTGCAGTGAGCAAGCGCTGCCTGCAAGCTCAAACCGGCCGGGAGATTTACGGCCGACGGGATGTGAACGCGCGTTATGCAGCCCGCGAGAAGCGGCAGCAGTCGTTGGAACGCGTCACCGGCTTGGACATTGACAGTGATGGATGGATCGAGGCGACGCGCTCCAGCGAGGAGGGCGAGCGAGCGCGCGTCAATGGCTGTCTCGTCCAGGTGCACGTCGGGCCAATCGACGACCGCCATCTCGGTCAGCTGGGCCACGCATTGCAGCGGTAGCGTCAAGAGACCTAGCGGTAAACTCGCCAGAACGAGAAGGACGTCACGTGGACGCTCGAGATAGAGCACAACGGCCTCGACGAGCTCGGGCGTCCAGCGACCCATGCGGTGACAGCAACGAATTGGGCATGTGCAAACTGGAGAAAGGCAGTTCAAAGAGTGCTGGTAATACATGCATTCTGTTCATGGATTCGACTTGTAGCAATGAGAAGCTTCTTATTGTCCTTTGCTTTGACCACGGACGGACATCGATGCGATCCGGTCCAGCCCTTCCACGCATGGGCTCAGCTTGGACTGTCCTCTGTTGACATGCTTTTTTGGTACAATTTTACCACTACTTCGAAGCTCGGGAGGATGGATCCAGCCCGCACACCAAAGCGAGCGACGACAGAGCTCCGTTTTGCCAAATCAACGCTTCCCGAAATCAACAACACTAAATCATACTCTGCCCGCCGTGGCCTCCGTACGGAGTCTCACCACAGCGTCTGAACTAACCACGAGCGCTCGCTCCTGCCTGAGGTTGAAACAAGCCAACAGTGGTTCATCAGACGCTGCTGGACTTGGTCGCTGACTATCTCATTCCACAGGTCCTCGACGATGCAAGAGGTCGAGATCAAATGGACACAATACCACGGTTTGCAACAAGTCTGTTAAATATATGGTTTCCTCGTCGCTTTGGGCATTCATTGGTACCGTCGCGTGACCAGTCGAACGTGCACAACAGTGTGGGCGTAAATACACATACCCGAGGCGACCACTCTGTTCGCTCAAGTCGTCGAAACAAACTCTTCACCAGGGGTAAACCGTCGTCGAACTATTGATCGACACACTTTCTACCTAAGCAATCCACTGTGATGCCCGACCACACCAGATCACTCAAGGTCCTGGCGCTGATGACGCCTTTGCCCTGAGTACGGCAAGCTTGCCGTTGTGAAAGTACAGTACAGTGTGTTTTAAGGTACCGACCGGTACAGTGCATACTGTACGTAGATGGATGTGCTTCGGTGCTTGTACATGACTCTACAACTTCAACATCATATCAGTCGACGGGCCATCGATTTGCCGTTGTGGTGTACTGTACCTTGGCTACTTTCTGTTGGCCCCATGCACGAACCAATATGTTTGGCCTCGACGCAACCCCGTGCACTTAAACTTTTTGTGTGAATGGAGGTTGCGAACTGAGATAAGCGCTCGCCCGTACGTACCGTGGCACTGAATGGTGGCGTACCCTGCTACACTTCCTGCCACGAGAAAAAATATCAAGTCAAATGAGCCACAAACTAGCACTAGAAGCTAAACATACCGGTCTATTGACATGTCAAGGTCAATTGCATCGATTTGACAGGTATTTCTGCTACATGAGGTAATGATGTTGGACTTTCTTCGTTGGGTAGCCGTGGCTGAAGCAATGGTCTAGATTGGTGAAGACTGGAGCGAGAAGCCGGACGAGATCGGGCAGCTCGGGGGTGGGCTCTCGCTGTGTTGATTGTGTGGGGCGATGGGTCACAATCTCGCGCATTCTTGCAAAAGAGCGACGGTCGCACGCACGTCAACGCGCCACGTCGTACAGTGCAAGAAAATGATCAAGTGCACCCAAACGATCGGTGCTCTCGCTTCAAACTCATTTTGCAACTGTCGTTCAAGCCACCAGCATGACAGAAAACAGCGTCGCGATGAGCTACGAAGAGCTCAAATGCTACCACCTGCTCGAGACCGTGCCTCGTCTCGACGACGGCTCCGAGGTTTTCCAGCCCACGCTCAAGGAATTGGAGCTCTACCGCCTCCTCCGCGCACTCAGTGTCGTCGACGCCAACGCGTCGCCCGGGAACCAGCTCGGTCACTTCATCGACGCGTGTCTCAACGGCGTCAAGAAGAAGTCAACGTGTGGAGACGGCGTGGCAAACGCCGACGCCGCGTCGCCCGAGGTCCAGCTGGGCGACGGCGTCGATGCGGTCATCGACGACGCCAAGATGACGTCGGCAAGTATTGACGCCGTTTTGGACGCCGATGCGGTGCTGTCCGAGGGTCAAAACGCCGACGCGGGCCTCAACACCGGCACGGAGCCGAAGAAGGACGAGAAGGTTGACGCCGACCAGAGTGTCAACAAAGCCACGTTCAACCGCAGCATCGACGTGGTTGCGTGCTACGGCAAGCAAGCGGCGGTGGAAGCGGACCTGCGCGCGCAAGGCTGGTGGCCCACGAACCTCGAAACGTACTTGCACGCGGACCACGAAGGCGTGTACGCGATTCTACTCCCCGAGACGACCGACCGCCCCAAACTCGTGCTCTTCACGTGGCTCCTCGACGCTTCGTTTTCTCCAAAGTACTTGCGCGAACGGGCGACGTACGCGCTGCGCTTCGTCACGACGCTGACGCCAGTCGTGCGCTGCTGCCTCGGTGACGCAGAATGGGACGCGCTGGAGCGCGCCGCTGCTGAGACGCGCGCCGAGTCGTCTCAGAAGAATACGGCCGTCGAGATGACCATCACGGAGGCCAAGGTGCAGGAGGAACATGTCTCGTGCGAGGTCGCATCGAAGCCCACCAAGGCGACGCCAGGTGACACGCTCTTGGCGGCGACGGGTGTCACGGGCGTCACGATGCACATCTCGCAAGACCACTACATTCGCAACACGTCCGAGTCGATCTCGATCGCGCCGCCCGCCGACTTTGCAGCATGGCTCTTGGAAGCTGCCAAGACGCACCGTCTCCAGATCAGAGTGCAGCTCCCGAGCGACTGCAAGCGTGCGGTGCTCGAAGCGATGAGCATGCTGCCGACGGAGAAGCTTCCGCGCATGACGATGGAGAGCCTGGTTGCGAACCTGCGCGACGAGGCCAAGGCAGAGGCAATCACAATGCTTGCAGCGATCACGACGAAAGTCATCGAAGCCGGGGCCACACTCTTCTACTTGCACGACAACGTGACGGCGGCGGAAGAAGCGTCGGCACACACGGCCCTCCAGGAGCAGAAAAAGGTACTGCAGAACACGCTCTCGCCCGCGATCGAGTTGCCCACCACGTTTGATCCGCTCGTGGCTGACGTCATCAACGCCGAATACGCGCGCCTTCTCGTCACCGATACGAGTTTTCTTGCACTAGCAGAGAAATTGCCGTCGTTGGTACGCTGGTATCGCTCAAGCCGCTTAAGCCCAACGGCCAGTCTCGAGTTTCCGCTTCTCAAGAAGCACAAGCCCGAGATGGAGTTGATCTTGCCGCGCACCCAAGGCGTCCTCCGCGACAGCTACAAAGCTTGGAGTCAAGTGGTGCGCGCGTTCCTCGAGAGCGACCAGGTCGTCAACATTACGACCAACCAGTGCTACAACAAGCTGGTCGCCAAAGCCAACTGTCAAGAGACGCCGCGCCGTGAGAAGGAAGCGAAGATCGTTCACGAAGCGTTTGTCGCTGCGATTGAGGAGGCGAACGCAAAGCACGCGCCGACCGAGCTCAGTGTGTACATCGACCGCGTGAAGCCCCACTACGTCGACTTCAGCAAAGAGTACGTCGCGGGGGGCGCGACGCAGCTGACGCTGACGCCGGTGGGTGGCGCGCCATTTGGCAGCATCAAGCTGCCGCGGGATGCAGTCGTGGTCCACGTAGCCTTCGTCGCAGGCGCGCGCACAGTTGTCGTCGTCGTCTTCACGCTGGACGGCAAGACGCACGTGCAGTCGTACCAGGCCAACGGGGCGCGACCCATGATGCTACTCGTCGCCAAAGAATTTCCCAAGCTCGTCGAGCGCTGCGACTTCGACGCGTCGCATCGCCTCTTGGCGCTCCAGCACTCGGACACCAAGGTCGACATCTATGCGTTCAGCGAGTCGTTCAAGGTCTTTACGCGGGCGCACCGATTCAACTTGCAGCTTCTGGGCCCCATCGCGCCGTACACCACCATGCCCTTGTTTGGCGGCGACAACCACGGTCTCTTCGTCGTCGGGGGCGACGGCAGCGCCCAGTCGTACTACTTGCGCACGCAACAGCAATCCAAGCTCGTACCGGACTTTGCGACGCCCGGATCCAAGGTCGTCAAGCTCCAGAACGGCGCCTTCATGGTGCGCATTGAACCGCTGGACAATGATCAGCACCCACGTCGCCTGCGCCTCCACACACTCGAGATCCAGAGCCATGCGATGCTGCCCTTGGTCGCCGAGGTCGCGCTGCCTAAAACGCTCAAGTTCTTCAACTGGTCGACCGTCCAAGCCTGCGCGTACGACGACACCATCGTGCTTCTCGACCAGAGCTCCGGTGCCATGCTCGTCCTCAAGATGACGGTCTTGACAGGCAAGGTCGGGTTCGAAGTGAGCTGCACGCACTCGGCGGCGCCTGTGACAGCCACAGAAAGCCACGTGCTCGCGCCGCTCTTCCACGTCTTTGAGAAGTTTCCCGTTCGGGCGTTCATGACACGGTGCCACAATGATGACGACGACTCGGACGATTCGGAGGACGAAGCCGCCGCAAAGAGCCAGCCGAGCGTGAAATGCGACGACGCTGACCTCTTGCCGATGGCACTGCAGTTGCACGTGCAAGCGTCCTCGCCCAAGCGCTGCAAAGCTGCCGCACGTGTCCTCAAGGCGATCATGAAGAAAATCAAAGAGCTCAACAAGCGCCTCGCGTCGCTCTCACTGGCCAAAGACACGGTCATGAACGGAGACTTGGTGTGGCCCACGATGGCTCTTGGGCGCTGGGTTCTCGAGGTCGTTGGGTTTGTGCCCGTGCCCATCTGCCGCGCGCGCGACAACGAGCTCGAGCTCCTGCGCGACGGCAACGTGGTCACGCTCAGTCAGTGCGCTGAGGTCCATGATATGGAGCCAAACATCATTTTTGGACCGACGAGCTACATTCTCAAGGCGTGGCGCGGCCCGATTGTCGTCATCACGTCCATGGGAAAGCAGTCGACGGGCAAGTCGTACTTTCTCAACCACCTCACTGGCAGCTCGTTTGCGATTTCGGGCGCGCGCTGCACAGACGGCGTCTGGCTCACGCTGCGCCCGTACGGCGAGACACTGTTGGTCGTCCTCGACTTTGAGGGCCTCGGGTCGTTTGAGCGCAGCATGCAAGAAGACACGCTTCTCTCGGTCCTCAACGCGGCCATCTCGCAGCTCACGATCTTCCGCATCGAGATGCGCTTCGACAAGGACATTGACGCGATGTTTGCCAAGTTTCAGCAAGGCGTCTCCATGCTCAAGGGCGACCCCCGATTGTTCACCGGCCAGCTCTACATGAACGCCAAGGACGTCAACCCCAACGACACCGATACGCTCGTCGACGAATTCAGATCCAAGCTCGCGGGTCTCCTCAAAAACGCCACGGCTGACAACTTTCTCACAGTCATGTACAGCGGCAGTGTTCTCGTCACGGCCTGCGCACCGCTCAATAACGTCGGCTACTATCATGGTCTGGCCCAAGCCTCGACGTGTTTGGCCGAAGCGCGTGACAGAAAGACATTCTCAAGCGGCGCCAGCTTTCACGAGTGCCTTGCCTACCTCCTCGCCAAGATCGCTCGGCGCGATTGGACGTCGATGGGCGACAACATCCGAGCGGGCAAGACGAAGCGGCTGCGCAAGCAGCTTCGCTACGCACTGCGCAACGGCAAACTCGACGCAGCAATCACAGCGACGTCGGTAAACATTTGGGCCGACGACGACGATGCGACGGTGGCGGAGCGCCAAGCGAAGGGCCTGGCCGACAAGGCCGTGCCCCAGGATGCCGAGATCGACTTTGGTCTGGAGTTGGATGGTTCGACAGACGCGGCGGCCAACCATTCGGTGGTCAAGGCGACGCTCCTCCACTACTTGGGGCAGTACGTCCAGCTCGTCGCAAGCCATGACGAGGATCATCTCGCCAAGGCACCACGCCGCGTCGACCACGAAGCAGGCTTTGACGTGCTCTGGACGTACATTGTGTGGCGCCGCGAGCACCGTGTCCGCGCCTGGTTCGAGTCGCTCGGTGGCTCGAGCCGCCAAGCGCTTCAAGACGACTTCAACAAATGTGTGCAAGACGTCAAGCAGCTTCTCCGTCGGTGCGAGCACACGTGCAGCAAGTGCAAGCTTGGGTGCTTTGAATCGTTCATGCATGACCGCGCCATGCCCCACGACTGCGGCGGAAGCCACCGCTGCGAAGGTCGCTGCGCCCACTGCGACGACGACGCGCCCTGCGGTGCTGTTGCAGGCCACGCGGGCTCATGCAACTGTTGTCAGAAGAGCCACACGTGCCCGCAAGTGTGCCATCTCGCTACCGCCCGCAACTGCGACGGCAACTGCCACCTCGACGTCGACCACGTCGGACCGCATGTCTGCAGCGTGAACCAGCACCTCTGTCCCAAGGCATGCGAGGCAAAGAGCTGCCGCAACGAGTGCTACCACCTACTGGATTTCGCCCACGATACGCACTCGTGTGGCACGCGTCGCTGCCAGCAGCGCTGCAGCTATGTCGGCTGTACGGGCACATGCACCTCGGACGACCACTTTCACGCGGTGGGCGCACTGCACTCGTGCGGTCAAGAGCACACGTGTCAAGCCAAGTGCACGGCTGGCGGTAACTGCGAGACCAAGGTCAAGCAGGAGACAATCCGCACGAAGTTCGCCCACAACAACGAGACAACCGAATACTCCAATCCAGCAGAGATCGGGCTAAAAAAAAGTGCGTCATCAAGTTCCAAGACAGTTGCATCGACCACAAGGGCAAAGACCATCGCTGCGACACCAAAGAGCACACGTGCGACGTGCGCTGCCCGTGCTGCAACTACTACTGCAAAAAACCGTACCAGCACACGGATCCGCACGCGACGACGCATGGGAGCATGATCGAGACGACGTTTGTGATGGACATTGCCGTCCTCGAGCTCGAGACAGACCGCAAGTATGCGGCCGGCGACCGCGGTATCGCCGAGATGTGTCCGTTCTTCTGCTCCAAGCTCGGCCGGGGCCACGTCCACTACATGCCATGCGAGCACGCCTCGGCCGACGCCTGCACTTCCGCGGCCAAGGACGGCCGTCGGCACAGTACGATGAAGCTCGCCTCCAACCCGAAGCAGGCCATGGACGAAGTGCTCCACGATACGTACTGGAAGGCGCTTGGGTGGGAAGACCCGGTCTCGAGCGCGCTTGAGCGCACGAAGTTTGCCTCGTGCCCATACGAGTGCGAGGCGCCCGAGCACAAGGACGCCGGCAGCGACAAGTCGTACTGCGTCCTGGGTGCGTGGCACGAGCCAGTGGTCAATGCGACGACTCTAAAGTCAGGTCAGTTTCTCGTGCAAGGCCATGTCTTCAAATGCCGGCACATTGCCGCAAAGGGCCTCCAACACCACGTCTTTGTCCTGGACGCCTCTTGGTCCATGGAAGGAGAGTCGTGGCAGGCGCTCACGGCGGCCTTTCACGCATACGTCGCGCAGATCCTCGCGACGCGAAGCCAAAACTGCGCCGACATTGTCTCCGTCGTCACATTCGACACTACTGCCCGCATCGTGCATGAAGCCCAGCCACTGATCAAGATGGCCAAGATTTCGCTGCCGTTTTCTGGAGGCTGTACGAGCTACGACGCGGGCTTGCGTTGCGCCAACGAGGTGCTTTCGCGCAACGACCACAAGTCGTATACGCCCGTCATGCTCTTCCTCTCCGACGGCGAGCCGGACAGTGACGCGAACGGTGTCGCGTTGGCGCAGAGTATCGCCAAGTCGTACAGCATCTACAATCTCCAGAGCTCATTCGTCGGCTTTGGGAACACGAACTTTGCACGCCTGGAGATCCTCGCGACGCACCTCAACGGCAAGTTCTCAAGGCGGAGACGGGCGCGGACCTGCTTGCGACGTTTGAAGAGATCTCGGTCCCGGAGCACATCCGCGCTGGGCTTCTGGGCAAGGCGACGACGACGCAACACACCAACGCGGCATAGATGCCGAGTAGGCTGAATCCGCCGACTCGGTAGGCTAGCTGAAATGTATCACTTTATCACAAATACATTTGCTTGTTATCAACGAGACGTCGTCGCCATATCTTCACTTGCACGATTGGAGCGGGCATCGAACGGGTTCTCTCTGTTGACCAACGTACCCATTGGACGCGTCGGTCGGTCACAGCGCTTCGACGCAGCTCCTCGAGCTGCCCACGCTTGCTGCTGAACCCCCGCTGCAAGTAAATTTCATTCGTATAAATTGCTTATGACATGGCGCAGCCTGCGTTCTGCGCGAGGAGGTCGCGCTTGGGCCACGGGTCGCGGCCAAAAAGATACAGCTGACACCGCCGCTTGTGGGGCTCGTCCGCCCTCCTCAGATCTTGTTGAGCTGGTGGTATTCCTTGGCCAGGTCAGACGAAAGCGTGCCGGACCCAACCATCATGACCACGATCCGGTGCGTCGACGCGTTGCGCAGCGCCCGCAGAAACGGGAAGGCGTCGGCCATGTCGTCTCGGTCCACGCGGAGCGAGATCGTCTTGAGCGTCGCAGAGAGGCGGGCGACTGCGGGTGCGGCGCCGACGAGGTCCTTGAGCACATATGGGTTTTGCGTCACATTGACCGCGACCAATTTCGGGCTCGTGTGCAAGTTGGAGAGGATCGACGTGACGCCAGCAGCCGAAAATTGGTTGCCCGAGAGGTCGAGGTCCTCGAGCTCCGAGCAGCAGCGCACGACGCGGCTCACCTTGGTTGCCATTGCATCGTCCAGTCCCGTGTGGTTCAAATGCAGATGCTTGAGGTGCGGGAGCCAGCACAGCGCCTGGAAGAGCGACGACATGTGCAAGCTCGCGTCGTGGCCTTGCAGACTCAGCGTTGTGAGGTGCGTTAGATTCGGCAGCATCCCAATCAGACTCGATGGACACACATCGGGCATGCTCAGCGTCAGCGACTCTAGCGTGTCGGGGTGCGCGAGGACGCTCGCGACAGCGTCGGGCGTGTGGGCATCGGCGTCGATCGAGGTCCGGGCGGCGCGTGCGTCACCGCGCCACTCAAACCCTTGAAAGCAATTTGGAAGAAACGTCGCCGAGAAGATCGTTGGTGTCGTCGGCGTCAGCGAGAGCTGCTGGTGGAGCGTCCGGGCGCCTGCGATCCACGCGAGGACGTCGGCGGTTCGATCCTTGTGGTTGACGTAGATGGCGGGCCAGCGCACGGCGATGTTTTGCTGTGCCGGGTCGAGGAGCTCGAGGAGGCAGCGCAGAGAATGCGTGAGCGCCGACGGAGGGAACGCGCTGAGAAAGTCCCGACACGCCACCGGGCACGGGATGTAGAGCGCGATGGCTTCGAGGACCTCGGGCGGACACCCGCGGTACGGCCGCGGGCGGCGCGACCGTTGCACGCTGCGGAGGAAGGCGAGGAGCGAGACGACGACGAGGGCGAGCGCTTCGAGCGTCGACGCGCGGAGAAGCGGCGCCATCGACCAAGCAAAAGTGGCCGCGGTGCATCGCTGCGCCGCCAAACCCGGTCTTTAGCACTGGCGCAAAGCCACGCGGTCGAGGGAAACCACCGCGGAAAGTTCACCTATTGGTCGGAAGTACTACTGTCGTATGGAGAGTTGGATACGCACAGAAGTCCATTCTTGGTCCGCGTCGATGGGATGGCGGAGCGCAGAAGAGGACGACTGCGATAAGAAAGACTAGAGTCGAAGATAACGTGTACGTGAAATGAATCACAGCAAAGACAAGAATGCGTGGGACGGTGCTGGTGCCAAAAACGGCGCCAAGAACCCGCAACGGTCTTCAAAAACACGTGGCACGCTGGGAGAGATCCAGCCCATGGGCGATCGTAACGGCAATCTCGAGACGCACGGGACGACTGCACGAGAGCCAAGCAATGGCTGAGGCGACGCGACGCATTCGTAGACCTGACGCAGAAACATGCATCGAAATGTCGTCGAAGCCCTTGGTATCAACTCTAACGGATACACCTGTTGCGGCTGTGCGGTTGAAAACGTGAACGTGCAAAAATCGCAACAAGAGAATGCTCAAAGGCCCCGAGCGACTCGGTTATTCGATGCGCGAGTCTGTCCTTGCTAGTGTTTGGCCAACGGATCGACGCGGTACCAAGATCAATGAGTCGTTCGTTGACGTGGCGAGCAAGCACCTAGAAACCACCAGACGCACGACGTACTGATGTGTTCGTAGTGGCAGACTGTATGTTGCTCTGGCGATGACAATTCAAGCAAAGTATCCAAAGAGATGCTTCAAGTGGTTAGCACAGCCATCTCGAGTACTTGGTGGCGTGGTCGTGGCGTCGTTGCGCTTGCCGAGTTTTGGGGAAGCGGACTTTGGAGCGCGGTCTCAGAGGCCGGTAGCAGGGTCGGTCAGCTCGAGTTTCATGCACTGAAGCAAGAGGTTTCGGAACCGGGACGGGCGCTTGGGACTAAACGACGGGCGTAGTGTACCCGTGGCCAAGTGCTCGTACTCAGACAGCGTCCGCGCAACGTCAAGTGTGCGCAGCTCCCACTACAATTATACGGCTTTCTGCACGTCTCAAGCTCGGTGAAAATGCCCCCCAGCGAAGAAATGTCGGCCGTCATACATGTATTGTAGTCGCAGTCGCCGCGCAGCACCTCGGGTGCCATTCAATGAATGACACAAGCCCATTTTGGCTGTCATCGTGTGGTCGTCAATGGTGCGTGCGACGCTGAGCTCGGTGAGCTTGGCGTGCGCAAAGTCGCCTGTCAAGAGAATGTTGCGGGTCGGAAGGTCGCGGCGCATGCGTGAGCGTTTATGGAGGTATGTACACCAATGCCAACTCTTTGTAAGGAAGATAACGCGGAACACGTTCATATATATATGTACACCAAGCCGCGCACAACGTCGACGGCGTACTGCAGCCGGCTCGCCCACGCTGGTCGCGACGGGAGGTACATTGTAGTAGGTCGCCACGAGGCGTGTACTCGAGCACGAGCTGGATGTTGCTCGGGCTGCTCCACGCGGTGTCACAATATGTACGCTACGTGAGCCTGCAGGGGCGTTTTTAGTATCAACTTGAAACAACAAAATCAAAATCGTACTGGGACGCCAGCTCGATCTCGTCGAGAAAGCTTTGTATGCCGTCGCGGTGGATGAACACGTCTTGCAAGCGACCAAAGTGCGATCGATTGGCGAGGTACACCGTATCCGCCCCCAAGCTCGGAATGGCGAATCAGCGGCGTGGTGGTGCGCTTGACATGGAGCGTGTCGAGGTTCAAGATGGACGCGAGACCGTCCTTAAAGGTGCGGGTCGTGTCGGTCGCCGCCGTATACATTTTCGAAGGCTTCATTTGACGAGAGCTCTCCGGGGCAAGGCCCTGCAGACCACTCAGTCGACCACATTTTCCAACACTAATCGCCAGTGAAAATAGCACGTATGCTTTGATTGCACGTTTCCATACTTATACGCAGTGTCTACGACATCGAGACAATATCGTCTTGCGTCGCCACCTGCAACTGCGCCTGCGCGGCCAACTTTGCAAACGCGCCACCAGCGGTGGTCAGTAGTGCCGTCGGCGTGTCGTACTCGATGACGCGACCAGCGTCCAGCACCAGAATCCGATCGGCGTCGATGATCGTGTGCAGCCGATGCGCAATGATGAGCATCGTGACGCTGACAAAGCACTCCTTGATCGTCGCCTGGATGCGCTTGTCTGACTCGAGGTCAATGTTGGCCGTCGCTTCGTCGAGGACGACGACCTTGGTCTTCCGCAACAAGGCGCGGGCGATGCAGAGCAGCTGGCGCTGACCGACCGAGAAGTTGCTGCCGCGCTCGGCGACTTGGTTGTCGAGCGATCCAATCGCATTGGCCAAGTGGACTCGCTTGAGCACGCGCCAGACCTCGTCGTCGCTCAAAGCACTCGACGGATCCAAGTTAAAGCGGATGGAACCCGAGAAGAGCACCGGGTCTTGCGGGATGATCGTCAGCCGTGATCGGAGTGTCGTCACCGGCACATGACCAAGGTCGACACCATCCAGGACGATAGAGCCCGACGCTATCGGCACCATGCGGAAGAGCGACGCCACGAGCGAGCTCTTGCCCGAGCCAGTGCGACCGACAATACCCACTTTGGCGCCTGCTGGCACCGTGAACGACACATCCTTGAGGACAAGGTCAAGGTGGTCGCGGTACCGCATCGAGACGTTGGTAAATAAAAGGTTACCCGATGTGGGCCACGATGCGTCGACAACATCGAGCAGCGCCATCATGTCGTCGTCTTCGGTTGGCAGCGACTCGTAATGCCTGAGGCGCTCGACCGACGTCATGAGGTTTTGCACGGTCGAGTACATTTTCGAGAGCTTGGACAAGAAGCCCGAGAGCTGCGACGCGTACGTGAGCGTCAGACCCGCGGCCGCGAGCCCGATCGACGCCTTGGTTGCAACGCAGATAAAGGCAACGCCCGCGAGGATGCCAGCGCTGAGCCAATCGAGACGCATTTGGAACCAGCGCGCCGAGCACTTGTAGAGGAACGAGAGACCCATGTAGTGGTCGATTGCGTCACGCTGCTTGGCGAGGACGTGGTCGGTTTTGTCAAACGCCCGGATCGTTGAGAGACCGCTGAGCGCCTCTGCGACGAGTGTGACGACCGGCGACCGACTGATGCTCTCGAGCCGCTTGAGTTCGCTCGACGACTTGTTGTAGAACTGCTGCAGCTTGAAGAAGAGATAGAAGATCGGGATGTACGCAATGAGGATGAACGGCGTCGAGAGAGCGCACACGACGAGGATCGCGAGGATCTGAAAGAGGAACTGGAGCACGAGAAGACCAAAGCTTGGCAGCTGCGAGTCGATTTGATCCAAGTCGTTCGAGAACCGGTTGAGAATACGGCCGATGGGCGTGACGTCAAAGAAGGTGCTGACGGGCGCGTGAAGGACCTTGCGCAGAAGCATCGCATGCAGCGACTGCGAGCACTGGACGGCAATCTGAAGCACGAGTAGCGACCGACCGTAGACCAAGAGCACCGAGAGCAGCGCACACCCGAGGTAAATGTACCCGGACGAGATGGAAGCCGTCATCTCTGTGTGGCTGGCCCAGTAGCTCATGAACCAGTCGGTCAGCACCAGCACCGCTTGTGAGACCGTAAAGAAGACACCGATGCACACCGCTACAAAAAGCCTAGACCAGAGAAAACGTGAGCACTGGATGGTATGCTGACTGGAAAAAGGATTCACCCGTTGGAGCCACTGGCGCCAAAATACGCCTTGTACGTCGCGGCCGAGACGGCACCTTGGGCGCGGTCTTCCTTCTCGACAAGGCCGCTTACAGGCTCTTTCTTGGGTCCCATGAGCACTGACTTTGTCGTCGACTCGTCGAGTGTCGACTCGGCGTCGGTCGACTCGGTAAAGTTCATCAAATGCGCGTGCGTCGACTTGAGCGACTCGTACGTGCCGTCGCCGACGATTGCGCCGTCGTCCAGGATCAAAACGCGGTCCGCGAGTGGCAGAAAATGGTAGTGACTGTTGAGCACCAGCATCGTCGTCTTGCCGCGAAGAAGGCCGCGAATGCACTCGTGAAAGACGGCGGTGGCCACATGAACATCGAGCGCGCTCAGCGGATCGTCGAGGAGATAGAGGTCGGCGCTACGATGGTAGACACCCCGCGCCAAGCTCACGCGCGCTTTCTGGCCGCCGCTCAAGTTGATGCCGCGCTCGCCAATCTCGGTCGCGTCGCCGTTTGGCAGCATGGCGAGGTCGGGTCCCAGCTGACACGCAGCGAGAACGGCGTCGTAGTAGTCGGCGTCGAAGCCGTTGTGGAAGAGGATGTTGTTCCTGAGCGTCGTGTGCTGGATCCATGCCTCTTGGTTGACGTACGAGAGGCGATTGCAGACAGAGCGCTGGCCGCTCACTTGGTGCATCTCACCAAGGATCGTGCTCACGAGGCTCGATTTGCCGCTACCGACGGGGCCAACGACGATCGTGAGGCTACCGGGTAGCAAGGTGAACGAGAGGTTGCGTAGTGTGGGCGGCGGTACGTTGGGGACCGACGCGGGCGCTGCCCAGCTAAACGCCGCATTTGTCATCTGCACGCTCGATGGGCCTTGGGTCGTAGCCATACCTAGTCACATAACTTTGATGAGATAAAACTGGCAACATGAATTCTGTGTACAAGTTGTCGTGGCTTCGTCGGACGTCAAGAAGGCACCGAGGCGGTCACACGATGCGAGTGTCTCGGACGTGAGCGTCACCGCCGTCGCAAACACGGTGCAGGGGAACCGCATGACGTTGGCGTAGGCGAGCGCAGTGAACGCGACAGGGGCCGTAAGTACGTTGCCCAAGGCGACGTACACCAAGAGACACGCTACTAGGGAGATACCGGGCGCAATGTACAGCACGACCGACGTGAACGTATAGTGCGTCTGGTACGCCTTTAGAAGGACGAGCTCTTGGTCGCGGACCGTTGCCAGCTGCGCTTCGAGGTGACCTTCCCACGCGTTTAGCTTGACGACGCGAATGCCCTGGAGAACCTCGTTGGTGAGCTTGAACCGGTGTGCTTGGACGCTAAGAAGGCGTCGCCGTGTCTCGCCGGCCTTGCGCCCCGAGTCGTACCCAACGTACATCAAGAACATTGTCGTGGCACCGCCCGCAAGACCAACGATGGCGCCGAGCTCGACGCCAATCAAGAGGTACGCGGCGAGGAGCATCAGAGGGGCAAGGACGACCCAATGACCATAGACAAAGCCTACGGACACGCGCTCTGCATCCACGAACGCCAACGTGAGAATGTCGCCGGTGTTCGTCTCGTGCTTGGCAAAGCCTGAGAGGGTGAGCGTTTTGCGAACGACCATGTCGATGACGATCGACTTGGCGTTGCAGCCCGTGCACATGTTGAGATACTGGGCAAAGTCAATCACTGTCGCCGCGAGAATCGAGACGAGAGCGAGGAGCGTTGCAAGCGCGTAGCCATCGTTACCGGTGGCGTCGGAGGCGAGGTACTTCAAGATCGACCGAATCAGCGCCGGCTGTAAGAGCAGAGTACCGGCGTATACGCAGTAGAGAATGAGCTCGGATACGAGCTGGTGGCGAAACGTGTACCACAGCGCGCGGTGAAAGCGAGGATGCGCCGTTCTCTTCTCGGCTTGCCAATGCGTATCAAAGCGGTCGTGGAGTGCGCTGACCGTATCTCTTGTCGCCAATGGCCATGTGTCGTCTTCAGTGAGTGGTGTGATCGCGCCACGTTGCATGAGGTCATTCATCCACGACATGGTGAGCGTCGAGGTCCACGAGGCGGTCTCTTGTGGATTGGCGCTGGAAACACCCGCCTTGGGTGTCTCGGCAGTGGTGTAGTTGTGGGTCATTTTCGGAACTGGGTTCTGTACGGGTAAAAAGGTGTACAATGGTTTCAAGCTGAAACCATCGCGAACCAGAGTTGAGCGTTTCGTCCCCTAGGCTATGGACGCAAGTGCATGGCGGAGACGAACGGGGTTCGTGTAAGGAGCCCAAGAAGGGGCTGGCGGGTGGTTTAAAAGAGCGTTGAGTAGCTACAAGGTTTGGAGCTGGGCGAGCAAATCGCCTTTATGAGCTTGGAGGCTTGATCTTCGATCTCGGCGGTTGCGCCTTGCTATAATAAGAAAGCTGGTGGAGCTGCCGGCATCTTGGATGAAATGGCGCTTGGGCACGGCGGTTTAAGGTGGCGCCCTTGCTTAGCCTTGGTAGAAAAACCCAGCTTCACGCGTTCCACGAGAATCTATCCCTTTCAACTCCGGTGTATGGAATAGATGTACATATGTATGAACGTGTTACGCGTTATCTCGGTTGTTACGCAAAATACCACCGCATTACCGTACCGGTACGTCCGCGACGCCACCTCGTCCCGCGGATCGCGCTCCTGCCTCCGCCGACCTAAATCAAGTTTCTCAACCGAGTGTACACAACGAAAAAAGTCGGATAATTTTATTTGGCATAGTTTTATCTATTGCAATAGACGACCTACTTCAACAACAACAACGATCGATTCACTGCGATCGAGCAAGGGTATATAATATACATTTATTATATACCCTTGGATCGAGGTAACTACATTTATTATATACCCTTGGATCGAGGTAACTTCAACCGCATTATCCGGTTTCTCATTCTGTATCCGTACACACCATCGACCGACATTGCTTTTTCGAGCAGCGACACCATGGCAACGACGAACCCCATCACTGTGCACTACTGGGCTGGCCGCGGTACTCTACTGCCTATCCATATTCTATATTTGTCACAAGCAACGATGGCGGCGTAGGCATGTGTGAGCCTCTTCGCGTGGCGCTGGCAGCCGTCGGCGCACCATTTACCAACCAGTTTCTCGAGACAAAGGCCGACCTCACGGCGCTTCGCGACGCCAACGACCTCGCGTACGGCCAAGTGCCCATGGTCGAGATGGATGGCGGCAAGTTCGTCCAAGTGCAGGCGACGCTGCTGTACCTTGCGCGCAAGCACAACCTGTACCCGTCCGAGTTGGCGGCGCAGTACATGTGCGATGCAACAATGGCCGCCTGCGCCGACGCGCGCCGCCCGCTCACGGGGTATGCGTTTACCCTGGATGGCGCCAAGGTCAAGTCCAGCTTTAACTTTGCTCGGTATCCGGCCAAGTGGGACGAGCTGCTCACGGGGCGCGACTACCTTCTTGGCGCCACCGCCTCGATGGCCGACGTGACCATGTGGGAAGGTATGCTTCGCCCTATCGACGCGGGCAAACAAACTCACATGATTTGGATTGTCTAGTCCTTGATTTTTATGAAGACATTTTTGGCACCGCGCTCTTTCGTGCCGATTTCAAGGCGTATCCGGCGCTCCTCGCTCACTACGACCGTGTCGGGCGTATGGGCAACTTGGCGCAGTGGAAGGCCGCTCGGTCGACGGAATTTGTCGACTACGCGACGTACGCACGCCACGTCAATCAAACGCTGTACGAGTAAAGACGCACTTTCGTTCGGGCATCCAAGGTTCTTAATCACAAACATTTATGGCATTGGTACAGTGTAGTACAAGTACTAGAATACAATATCAGTGCCGTGTAGTAGTTAGTAGTACTCGAACTAGAATACACTTGACGCACACATCGATCTGCAGCACGGCCACAGGACTGTGATGCCTTCCACGCCAACAGCAATTCCGAGATGCACAATTCGAACAACATCTTGTTCGTTGTATACGAAACCGACGACGGCCTTGCTCGAAGAATATATTTTTTCATTTTCAAGTTGGTACCACCATGGGCAGCGGACTCTCGGTCGAGGAAAATTCAATGTTGTACGTCGACGCGCACGGGGCACTCGGCCTCAAAGAGACGTATGTCGCACCGCTCGAGGCCTCGATGGACCTCGATATCAAGCGCCCGCTCGTCACAAAGGAGCACGAAGCGCTCATCCACAAGCACTGGGCCGTCGTCTGTCGCGGCACGTCGGCCTTTCAGAAGGAGAAGCACTTGACGCCGACCAAGTTTTTTGCGTCGACATTTTACGCCACGCTCTTCAAGGCCGCGCCGGGCGTCCGTCCAATGTTCCGGTCGTCCATGACCGTCCAAGGCAAAGCACTCACGGGCCTCGTTGCGACGTTGGCGACAGTGATCAAGGCCAACAACGTCGCCGAAGTCTGCATCAACCTTGCACGCATGCACGCGCAGTATGGCGCCACCAGAGCCCACTACACGGGCGTCGGCCTCGCACTTCTCGAGACGCTGCAGGCGGTGAGCGCCAACGAGTGGTCGACCGAGATCCGCACGGCTTACTTGACGTCATACTGTCTTCTCTACTATTTGATGCTGCCGACGATCATTGAGACGCCGCGGCGACCGCTCCAGCCGAGCCTTCCAGGGCACATTGCGCGCAAGGAGCGTCTTGCCCACGGCGTCATGAAGCTCTCGATTGCTCTGGACTTTCCACTGCGGTACCATGCCGGCGACTCGATTTTGCTCGGACTGCCACTGCCCAATGGAGAGGAAGTCCGGCGCAGCTACGCACTCACGAGCTTGTTTGACCCGAGCCACACCAACGCCATCGACATTTGCGTCGAGGCGCGAGGGGACGCGTCGCAGTGGCTCGTCGACGCGCCAATCGAGACCGTTCTCAACGTCTATTGGATCAACACGGGCGTGCATTTCGAGACCGACACGTTTACGAGCATTCCCCACCGCCTCCTCTTTGTGAGCCACGGCCTCGGCGCCGCGCCCGTCTATGCGATGGTGAAAGGCTTGTACGCGATTCGGAGCCAGTACGAAGGCGACATTTGCATGCTCCAAGTGTTTGAGGAGTCGCCCATTCCGTACTTTCAGAGTGTGTGCTCGGACGGACCGTGGTCCAGCCTCAAGATTGCGACTGCGACGACGCTGACACAGGAGGCCTTGCTCGAGCTTGCGCCCGATGTGGCCACGCGCCACTTGTACGTGGCGGGCCCGCCTGCGTTTGTCGACGCCACCTCGCGCCTCTTCCTTGAGAATGGCGGCGATGCGCAGAATTTGGTCGTCTATTCGTTTGACAACACACCCTTCCTCGCCGACGCGGCGTCCGTGTAGATAGAAAGTCCATATTAAAACTCTGAAAAAGAAGATAGATCTTGCATCTCGCGTCGCGTCAGATAAACCAAGCTACATGTATGAGCTCAAGCAGGCTATAGATCAAGTGTAGGAGGAGGCATGGGAGTTTCGCCTTTATCGACCCACCTAAAAATCAGCGACTAATACAGTTTGTCAGGAGGTAATACAGTAGGTGCCGGGGCTGAGTCTTGCTTATTTGCATCCTCAACCACCTCATGTTGTTCCTTGCCCGGCCCCGGTTGCATTCTGCTCCCGAGCATCCTCGCTCATTACAATGACACGAAATGATCTTAAATACTGTAATCGTTAGTTTATGTCGGATTGTGCGGCAGGTACACACTATATCGGTGGTGGTGGCGCCAGGCGTCGTTTGGCGAAAGGTCGCGCCGGTTCATCCATCGAAAGATTGCTCACAAAGACAATCTCGGTGTCCCACAAAGAGCAAAGTACTGCATAGCATCATGGGCGGTGGCGCGTCGCACGAGGAAGCTTCCATGGTCAACGTCGACGAGGACGGCAACCTCAGCATCAAGGAGTCGTTCCTCTCGTTCCTCATGGACGCGATGGACCTCGACGTCAAGCGCCCGGTCGTCACGAAAGAGCACGAAGCGCTCATCAAGGCCAACTGGGCCGCCGTCAACAAAGGCACGGTCGCCTACGATGCGGCCAAGCACCTCTCGCCAACCAAGTTCTTTTACACGACGTTCTACTCGCTCATGTTCAAGGAGGCGCCGTCCATTCGCCCGATGTTTCGGTCGTCCATGACAGTCCAAGGCAAGGTGCTTGCGGGTATCATTGGGACCATGTCGACCGTCATCAAGTCCAAGAACGTCGTTCAAGTGTGCCAAGACCTCGCGGCGCGCCATACGACGTTTGGTGCCACAAAAGAGCACTATAACGTCATGGGGCTTGTGCTCATGAAGACGCTGGCCATCATTTCGGGCCCCGAGTGGAACGACGCGGTCCACGAAGCGTACTTGACGGCGTACTGCTTCCTCTACTACCTCATGCTCCCCGTCATCATGGACAAGCAACCCAAGCCGATCAAGCCGAGCCTTCCAGGTAAAATCACTGCGAAAGAAACCATTGGCGACAACACGGTGCGGCTCTCGATCACGATGGACTTTCCGCTGCGATACCACGCCGGCGACTCGATTTTACTGGGGCTGCCACTGCACACGGGCGAGGTCCGACGGAGCTACGCGATCTCGAGTGTGTACGACGCCGAGGTCAAGCCCTTCGACATTTGCGTCGAGGCCGTGTCCGAATCGTCCAAGTGGCTCGTCGAGGCCAACGTCGACTCGGTCGTCAACGTCTACTGGATCAACGGCGGCGTGCACTTTGAAACCGACACGCCCGACTCGATTCCCAAGAAGCTGCTCTTTGTGAGCCAAGGCATTGGCGCCGCGCCGTTCCATGCCATGACGAAGGGCTGTCATAGCATCAAGGACAAGTGGGACGGCGACATTGCAGCGCTGCACGTGACGTCCAACCCAATCAGCGCCTTCCAGACGATCCACTGGGACCGCTGCACGATGGCGACGGCCAATGAGCTCTCAACAGAGGCACTGCTCGGTGTCGCGCCCGACCTTGCGCATCGGCGGCTCTACATTGCCGGCTCGACGGCGTTTGCGGAAGAACCAAAAAACTCTTTCTCGAGGCCGGTGGTCGCGCCGCCGAGATTGAAATCTACTCGTTCGAGAACGCACCGTTCATTCAAGAGTCCCTCAACGTGTCCCCGCAGCCGGGCCACTGATATGGACGATTGTATAGCGCTCCGTAGTTCTATTGAGCATCACAAAATGGATGATGAACTTTAAGGCGTGTATAGTAGTTGCGTGTTTCATGGAGAGATGGCATAGAAAACAAGGCCTTCCACACCACAACACGCCTTTAGGACCAGGATAGGAGCAACTACATACTGAACGTTGACAAGGGACGGGCCAATAGACCGCAGCTTCTTTTCCAACGGAATGGTTAACACTGACGCACCGTGGTCATCCCATAACGATCAAGTCAAAAGTACATCCCAATCATTACGCCGATCCAGCCGAGCCGAGCCATCCATTGCAATTGTCGATGAATTCGGACGCGCAGTCATTCAAGGTCTGTACCTGTAGTACGTGCACTCTCTACAGAGAACCATCCACCTACGCATTCATTGTATGTATTCGCATGACATATCGTGGTGAGCGTCGCTGGCAGTTATGGGATAACCGTTTGGAGTAACCGCATCAAATTACCATCATCCGGATACACTGTTCGTATCCGGATCGAAACGGCAACCCGAAGCTTTGCACATTCGCAGACAGGCGGGCGTAGGAAGCCGCCGATGGACAGCTTTCTTGGGTGGCCGCTGGGCGTGCTTCTGAGCGCGATCGCGTCGATCATCGGCGTCCTCGGCAAGATCCTCCTCAAGCTCTCGTTCCAGCGCCGCAGCCGCGCGATGTGGGCCACCGGCATGGCCTGCATCGTGCTGCTCAACCCGCTCTTCTGCATCTCCGCCTTCAACTTTGCGCCGCAGTCGCTGCTCGCGCCTATGGGCGGCCTCTGTATCGTATGGAACACCATCTTTTCGCCTTGGATCCTCGACGAGCCGCTCTGGACACGGGTACTTTGACCGATTTCTTCATTGCCTAGGATGACGCTGTAGGACATTGTTGGCGCGGGCGTCGTCTTTGCGAGCTGCATACTCGTGTCCATCACGGGCAGCCACGAGACGCACAAGATCCCGGTCGACGAGCTCGCATCGCACTTTACCAGCATCGCGTTTGAAGTGTACTTTGGTCTTTTTCTCGCGTCGAGCCTCGCCTTGCGCTACTTTGCCCGCGCTGCCTTTCACGCCTCGACAGACTCGACGCGCCACAAGACCGTGTCCTGCCGCGTCTCTCTTGCCATCCTCGCGGGCAGTCTCTCGGGTCAGCTCTACTGCATGACGGCGCTCCTGCGTCTCCTCCAAAACGGCGTCAAGGTACGAATTCTTGGATGCGGAAGTGGGTTAAAACGTGGGTGTAGGTACTTTTTACGACGCCACTCGCCTATCTCGTGGGCGCGGGCGCCCTCTCTTTTGCCCTCACGGGCTTGCGTTTCTTAAACCTGGCGCTCCGCCTCTATGACGCGCTCTTTGTCATCTACCTCTACGAGTCGACGCTCCTCGCGACCGGCGCGATCTCGGGCATTTGCTTCTTCAACGACATGAGCAACGAGTCGCTCGTGCGCTGGGTGCTCTACAGCGTCGGCGTCGGCGGCATCTTTCTTGGCATTGGCATCATCTCCGAGTCGATCAAGCTCCGGGCAAAGTCATGCCCGATCGAGAAGGCAGGCGAGGCGTCTCAAACACTGCTTGCGTGATTCGAGTCGTCGTGCTATGCGTACAATTATAAAAGGATTACTACGAGTTAATATTCACATAGACAAAACACGCGATGGAAACAGAGTCCTGTGGGGTGGAACGATAGCTATCAAGAAAAAAATGCATTTATTATATACCCTTGCTATCAAGAGCGCTGCAAACCGAAGCGCGAATGTACTACCATCTGACTCTGTCGTTCGACCTCGGACGCAGAGACATCGTTGACGCCTCAAACACATAGATTCAGCTACGGTGAACCGTGGTCCAGCTGTAATCCGCAATGAAAAGCGCTCATCCGAGGACAGAGGCTCCAGACTATTGTCATAGTAATGACAACAACTACTCACTACGTCCATCGTGCACACGCCAAAACCCCCACCTCCTATTTCATACAAAATAGCTCAAAATGCACCGGATTTTCGAGTCGATTGAGGTAGACCAAGTGTACGTAGTAAATCTCACTGGTTTGTCACATAACGCAGCTCGCACACTCTTTCATTCTAGTCGGACGACGAAGCGGCGTAGCGCTCGACGAGGGCGGTGAGCTTGGACGGGTTGGCACCGCGGAGCTCGTCCTGCTTGCGGCCCGACACATAGACGTGGAACGTTGGCATGGCCGAGACCCCGCAGGTCGCGGCAATGTCCTACACCATGATGAAGACTATCCTGGACGATGGCTGTACGTACATCGCAGGCATCGACGTCGACCTTGGCAAACGCCAGAGACGGGTACTGCTCGCTGAGAGCTTCAAAGAGCGGCGCGATCTTCTTGCACGGACCGCACCACGTGGCTGTAAAGTCGACAATGACCTACGCCGTCGTAAGCACGCGAGATCGATGCCATGCGTCCGTCGTACGGGGCGGCTCGACGCCAGCAGCGCGTCCCACTCGGCGCGCGTATGGACCGCAACGAGCGAGCTCGCGCCCTTGCGTTGGCGCAAAGTGGAGCAGTCCGAGCCAGCGCTACTTGGCTCGGCGGCGCAGCACGAAGCGGCGGCGGCAGCTTTGGGCGGCGCGCTGCCCGTGAGCCACGCCCACGCCTTGTAGAGAAGCGCAAGGAGGAACGGAAAGACGGCCTCCATGGGCAGGCACACAGGGCCAATGCAGATCTACGGTACAGCCCGCGTCATGAGCCATCCTGTGGCATCGCTCGCCCAGCGACTCGTACGCAGGTCATCTGGGTCCGATTTCGTTTGTGACGTCGGCGAGAACAGGTTGCATCGTTATCCGTAATACATTGCATTATCCGTAATTCCTACATGCGCTGTCGACGTGGCAAGACCAACCAAATGCTTCACTGTCTAGTTTGATGTAATAC